TGAACCGCTATAATTGTCCGTGAAATTCTTTTATTGAAGTTTTTAACAAGTCACATTCCCTCACAGCTGGGGAGGCCGAGGAGCCCATGAGCAGTAATTGGCAGTGACTACAGCTCAGTTGACAGGTGTGACTTGCTGAACCACTGATTTGATGAGTGCCTCATTCCTGACTAGGCACCTAAGTAAGGATGGAAGAGCCTAATTTGGAACTACATCTTTGCATATTTTATTCTAGAAGCACACTCATTCTTACCTTAGGTGACAAAAGAGCTGTGCACCGTGGTTCGTTTGGATTCCCCACCAGAGACCTGACAGATCAGGTTTTGTTTGTTGGTCTGCATACCATCCATGGAATCAGATAGAAATGTAAGTAGGGAAAATGCATTGCACCGAGTTTTATTTGTGTGGAGTTTTATACCTTAACACAGGACTAAAAGTGTGTTGCATACATACAAGTCTATCTGGGCACAGAAGTTCAGATTCTGTGATGGTTTTGTGTGAAATGTGTTCAGTACTTGTGGGACAGGTTGTGAGCAGAGTAAGAATTGGTTACAGCTATGGGCATTCTCTCCATAGCTGTCCCCTTCCCAGATGCAAAAGAAGTTGAAAAACCAACAGTTTCATATGACAATGAACAGTGATCTTCTTGCAAAGCTTTGGAAAGTCAGGTGAGATTCCCCCACTGCTAAAATTTCATCCAGTGACTTCCATTACTACCAGTTTAGGATCTACCCCCTTGTTTCCTGCAGCATGAACAGAGAATTGCATCAGGTTGGAAAAATACTGGGCAGAGGGAAAGCGATGGGGAACAGGAAATCTTTAGACTGGTTTTGCCAGTGAAGGCCCTGCATTGGTAAGCGATAGCTTGAGAGAGAGAAAATCACCTGTGGAATCACCTGTGGAGTTCATGCATCTCTCACTTTACGGGGCTGAGCAGCAAAGGTCTGGGTCTTACTCACATTGATATAAATCAGAAGAAAATTCCTTGAAATTAAGTGAGTGTAACAGAGTCGTAGAGGGTGATGAATACAGACACGACTTGGTAGAGACCATTTACTTAAGCGCTTGTTTGGTGTGCAGTGACAGCCTGGGAGACTGCTGACTGATAGAAGGATTCACAATCACCAACTGCATGTATAACCACAGGGGTGGGATTTCGTAAGCTACCCCAAAATGGGAATTTCCCCTGAGCCATCATTGTTATGTATGCAAAAGTCTCGCAAGTTGCAATTTCTTTTTATGTCCTTGGAGAAGTTGAAACTGGGATTGAGTGGAGCAAATACAGAAAGTCCATTTCTTCTTTCAACCAAGAGACCTTCATCTCTATTGGGAGACCGATGTACTGGTTGCTCTTGACCATCTGTCATGAGCAGGAGAGTTTTTGAGCTGGAGAGCACTGGTCTGATGGGAATGTACCGCAACTGCGGGAAGGATAAGGGCACACTGAGCACAGAAACTGAGAAGAGCCTGTTACAGGGGGAATCTGGTAATTGTAATGTTATTAAGTCCTTTCTGCTTGATCCTTACAGCACATCTTCACACACTCGGTTTACATTTATTTGCACTGAAATGGAGCGTGCTACCTCTCCACTCCTGTCATTGACAAAATATTTTGTGCGCAATACTGAATCTGCACAGATTCAATGTGCATTTAATGCATCTATCTAGAAGTTACTGTGAAAAGACAAATACCCCAAAACCCAAACAAACCAGGCTTTGTAAGCAGATCAGTAGTTCTAGTGCAAGGTAAAATGGCTTGTTTTTACTGAGTGTGATAGATAGATTCCTTCAGAGATGATGACTTTATGTGAAATGTTCTAGGAATATTTCATGACCAGGTTACTGTACTTTTTTTTTACTGCAACATGTGCAATTCACTTGATGTTCTTGTGCACTTTTTTGATTTTTTTTATTTCATTTTGTATGAAAGCTTTTTCATTTACCTCTCCTTTCCTGTTATTTATAAAAGCTATTGTGGTTTTAACAGTTTAAATTTGCATTGTTGTAGTAAATAACAGCTCTCAAATGTTATGTTTCCATCTTTCAAAGTATGAATAAACAAGTAGATTCTGAAGGGCTATCAGCTGTCCTGACTAGCAACATTGAACAACCAAACACAAAAAAAGCCAGGAAAAGTCTGAATCAATCCAAGCTCGAACAATTAATAATTTTGATGTTAATCTCAGGGGTGAGAGAACAGTAAGTATTGCTAGAGAGGAGACAGAGCTGCTATTCTTTGCAAACCTTTCGGAACGTCTCACACATCCCCATTCAGTGATTTCGAATATACTTAACAATTGTCTTCTGTTCATTTGCGTTTTACTTCATTGCTGCTCCAGTTCAGAGCCCCAGCAAGGGCCACCGCCTGCCCAGGGCTGGGGATGGAAGTTCCACATCATAAAGGATTTTAAGGATTTTAAAAAGTAACATCAGTTTAAATCTGAGAGTAAGTGTATAAATATCTGTGTGTCAGAGGTCATTTGGAATAGTCTGATTCAATCCTTCACTGCAACTTAAAAACATGCTATTCTACTCCATGGAAAATGTACAGCAACATACATTCAAATAAGAAACAGTTTAAAAGAAGAAAAAGAAAACAAAGAATTTAATATCCAAAAGGTAGAAACTTGATTTCAACTCTCTTCTTTCTCTGGATTTCTTCAGAAATAAAATTTCTACAGAGGTTATCCACTTTGCCAAGTATTACAATTTTGATAGAAATCCGTATTCTGGTGCAATACACAGCACTTTCAAATTTCCGTTCTGAACTCAAGCAGGAATACTTGTCCACAGTAATCACTGCTATACCTGTGGTTCATTCCATGACCTGCTCTGGTCACCCAGATGGAAATCCAGTCTAAAGCCAAGGAGGCTGCTCTGCATTGAGAACACTGAGACAGAGTTCAGCATCTGGCTTCATCTAGATTGCAACAGTGACACAGAGCTATTGGTGTGAGAAAGTGCCCCTATTTCCATGTAAAAAATTCCTTGCCTATAGCTCTGCAAATTAAGAGCCATAGCTCTCCTCCCATTAACTTAAATGGGGGACTGCCTCTTGTTTCTGTTAGTCTCCTCGTGGAGAGGGACAGAGTCTCCTCATGGATTTTTTTTTTCCAAAAAGACAAAAACAGAAAGCCATCTAAGTATATTCATATATTCACTTCTGGATCAAGAGCTAACCTGATGTCTTTAACCCTTAGATCGGCTCTTTACCACCTTGCACGTTGCATGTAGTTGCAGGTATGTGCTACCAAAGCCATTTCCTGTTGTCTCTCCTATAAGAGTAGTCTATACAGGCTTGATACATATATTAAGTGCTGGTAGCATGGAGAAAACAATGAAAGCCACCTCCATTTCTACTTTTGGCCAGCTGGACTAACACTTTACAGCCATTGTTTCCATAAAAGTAAACATTGGTGGGATATACTGTCAGGTTTGGGGAAAGAATGAGCTGGTTTTAGCCTGAGAGTAGTTCATGTCCTAACAGAAGTTGCAACCTAGTTACAGAACACCAAGCCCCATCAGAAGATCCAAAATGATACTCATCTTAACATGATAATTTT